TTACTTAAAGTTATGGAGCACAAAGGGTATGTTAACATTATGTGGCCATCGTTGTTAAATTTCTAGCTTCATTGTGTTAAGTTATTTTTGTTTTATGCTTTAGTTGATTGACATGTTAATGTCTCTATGTATTTATCTGCATGAGCGTTTTTTTTTTCTTTTTTCCTGATTTAAACTATTAATTATCGTTAGGGAAAATACTTTTATTTCTGTGGATAACTAACTTTTTTTGTTTAGTCGAAGAAATATTATAGTCATATAGTTAACTGAATGTCTAATATTAAAGGCCAGTAACTTTTATATATCTTTCTATGCAACTTCTTATTAATACTTTTATTTATGAAATTCTTTTTTTCTTTGTGGAGAATGAAATTATTAATTATTAAGTAAAGGTTAAATATGCTTTATTTTTTAAGAAATCAAATATATTTACTTTTTCATTTAACATTAACATAGTAAGAAGATATGATAGTTTTTTATTTGTATTGTCAAGCCTCCTTCGAACGTCACCATGTAAAACCCTCGTTAGTTTTCAAGACTTTCAAAATCTCCATTCATAATTCATGAATAGATTTATTTAAGCCAGACTTTTGTATATAATAATAATTTTTCTTTATATGCTTGAGTTGGTGGGAACAATTTTCTTCCTTATTACCTAGTACTATTGATATTTGTAAACTTTGGCTAAATTTTTGTATTTTAGTATCCTTTAATATGTCATTCAAACTATGATTTTTATTTGCATGGATATAACTACAAGTAGCGAAAAACAGGCCATAAAGGGAGGAAATGATATCCAAATGAATCAGAAAAAAAGAAAGAAAAGCTAAGCAAGATCGTGTTGCGACGCATAGGTGCATGATATAGGGCGTTAGGTTATGTCTAACATGTTGAAGGTTTTAGTGGGGTTTTGGAGTCTCATTTTTAAGTGGAAAGGATTCTTATTTTGTGGTTTGAAAGAGAGGGGAATAAAGAATAGGGAAAGAAACACCTAAACTGGAGAGTTAAACTTGCACATGTAATTCTTCTGCGCCCTTTTCTTGTATTTTGTTAATGATATTTTCTTTTTCTTCTTTGGGGATATTATTTTGAACCTATTGGATTTCTAAATACTTTTAAGGGATCCTTTGCATCCGATTATTTAATTATTCGGTTATTAACATGTCTTGTGTCAAGGCTTTGATGGTTGGAAATGAGTATAAACTTTAAAGTAGGTTAAACTAGATTTGATCAGATAATATTTATAGTTCAATTTAAAATTCGATTTGAGTTTAATATGATTTTTTTTTTTGTTTTAACTTGTTTTAGTTTATGCTTGCGAACATGCTAGTTTAATTGTTTAACTAGTTATTCCGAATCACATGCAAGAGCAAATTTTTTTTACCTTGTACTTCTCAAAGTTTTGATTTATTATTAGATTATATATATATATATATATATATATATATATATAGAGAGAGAGAGAGAGAGAGAGGGGGATTCGTTTATTATAGGAGTAAGTCTACTTAAACTTCGTTCAATAACTCATTTGATACTTAATCATTGACGATGACAAGTTTATACTTTTTACACATAGACTAAGTATTCTGGTTGGTCTAAACATATTCATGTGCAATTGCAAGAATTAGAATCCATACCCTAAAAAGTAGTAGGGATAGCAAAAAAAAATTGTATAGTAGATATTCATGCATAGAATTCAGCACATATATAATAAATGGACAACCTAAATGGATACCTACGAGTAATGAATATATATAATTCTTTTATCCATTTTTAAACGAGATGAGAGTAGGTATTGTAGCTAGTATCTATACGTACGTGCGAACACACGTTATGTAAAATTACTTAAATACTCATTTAGTTATCTTGTATTTTTAATATTTCAACAAAATTGATGTTAATGCAAGTTTAAAAATTAATGTCAACTAGATTTTGACTGGTACATTGTTTCAGCGTATGAATAAATATATACATATTATAATTTGAAAGTACTAGAGATATTTAAAAATTAAAAATAAACATTCAATATTACAATTAAATGATTGTAGAAAAGTTACTAAATTTATAGGTAAAAATATATTTATTAATCAAAATCATATTAATTATACAAATTATTTTTTAATTATATTCATATATGATATTGTACTAACCGTACTTCGCACCCGGACTCCAAGCCCGGATTAGTAATACAAAACAACCCCGGGCACGCGCTGCGCGACGTCAGCCCGGTATTTGAGCAAATCATACCTGATTCCGAGGATCTCGTCCCAGACCAAATCCGCCCTTCAATTATATCATATCATATCATGATATATCTTATCTCAAGCCCAAAAGCCCAAGGCAAACCTAGATCACCTCAAGGTACGTGCATTATATATATGAGACTATTACTCATGCAAACCCTAACTTTGGCATCGGAGTCTCTTTTGCAGGTACCTCCCCCATCTTGGAGCACCAATACATCGGGCAAAGGAGACTCACCGATCTTACTGGACGAACCAGCTCTACAGCAGATTTCCGGCAAGAACATTTGGCGCCCACCATGGGGCCGATCGAGACAGCCGTCATCGGCCACCTGTATGGTTTCTACTAGAAGCCACATTAGACGAGCAACAGAAGACGCTGCACACTCAGTCACCATGGACAGCAACGCTGCAACCTTGAGAAGGCTAATCGACCAAGTCGAACAGATGCGCCGGCAGCATGACGCTGACCTGCGCAACACGCGTGCCCAGCACGAAGGTAACATAGCAGCGATACGGACCGCCAATGAAGCAGACCTCGCAGCATTACGAGCCGAGAATGAGTACATCCGCGCCCAGCTCCCTCGACACCTTGGTAACGTCTCCGACTCTCAGCTCAACCTCAGCGGAGCAGCGCGGAGTGGGGCAAATCGAGAACCCGGATCAACCCTCTCACGGGAGGTAATCGGTGCGATCGCAGGAGGCTTCGCAAGAGGGGGAGCCAGCAGCTCGGCCCACAAGAAACACCTGCGCAAGGTTAATCACGTACACTCCGCCACCTGCGCTTTACGCGGGAACCCGCTAGTGATAACTTTCACCGACGACGACTATGTCGGGGTCAACCGAAATCAAGACGATCCCATGGTCATAGTTGTGGCATTGGCCAATTGGGAAGTTCGCAAGACCTTGGTCGACCAAGGAAGCTCGACCGACATCCTATACTGGCCAACATTCCTCAGGTTAGACATCCCCCACTCTCTCATACAACCTCATACCGAACCTCTAGTCAGTTTTGCAGGGAAAAACATTCACACTCGGGGATATGTGGACCTACTGACGACTTTCGGAGCACCCCCGGTTTCCAGACAGGTCCTGATACGATACCTACTCGTGGAAGCCGACACCCCCTATAACGTCATCATCGACAGACCAACCCTAAATCAGCTCGGGGCGGTGGTGTCCACCCCGCACCTCACCATGAAATTTCCAGGGCACGATGGGAAGATCATCTCCATCAGAGCAAATCAACAGGTAGCGCGACAATGCTACGCAGAAAGCCTGGAAACCGTCTCACCGAGCGAACAACGCAAGAACGACCTTACCGCTCTGGCTCACACCGACCACGAAGAAATCACCAATCTCGACCCGAGATCCGACACTCATGACGAACGACCCAGCCCCGTCGATGAGCTTGACGACCTTCAAATCGGCAAACTCCCCAGACAAACCACAAAGATCAGCCGGCAATTAACCCCCGAACTACGACAGCAACTCCAAGCGGAGATCCTCAAGAACGCTGACCTCTTCGCCTGGTCTAGCGCTGACATGCCCGGTATAGACGTAGACTTCATCTGCCACAGATTAGCAATACATAAGGAAGCAAAACCAGTTGCCCAGAGAAAGAGGAAGGTCGGCGGCGAAAGACGGGAAGCCGTCATGGTAAAAACGCAGAAGTTGCTCAACGCTGGCTTCATCCGTGAAGTCAGGTACACCACATGGCTGGCAAACATGGTCCTAGTAAAGAAGCACTCAGGAAAGTGGCGTATGTGCGTCGACTATACCGACCTCAACAAAGCATGCCCCAAGGACTCATACCCCTTGCCGAGCATTGACAGGTTAGTCGACGGAGCCTCCGGACATGGCCTCCTCAGCTTCCTTGACGCTTACTCCGGGTACAACCAGATAATGATGTACCCGCCTGATGAAGTGCACACGTCCTTCATCACTGACCACACCAACTACTATTACCGGGTGATTCCCTTCGGCCTCAAAAATGAGGGAGCAACATACCAGCGGCTGATGGACAAAGTATTCCACCACCAAATTGGGCGAAACTTGGAAGTTTATGTAGACGACATGGTGGTTAAAACCATCTCAGCAACGAACCACGCCTCCGACCTCGCCGAGGTGTTCGCCCAGATCAGGAAGCACAACATGCGCCTCAACCCGGAGAAGTGTGTCTTCGGCGTCCAGGGGGGTAAGTTCCTCGGCTTCATGATCACCAGCAGAGGAATCGAGGCCAACCCCGAGAAGTGCAAAGCCATCATACAAATGCAAAGCCCACAAACGGTAAAAGAGGTTCAACGCCTGTCCGGACGGCTAGTCTCGTTATCCCGCTTCATCCCCAAACTTGCGGAGAAAGCAGGGCCAATCTTTACCCTGCTAAAAAAGCCAAAAAACTTCCTTTGGACAGATCAATGTGAAGAAGCTTTTCAAAGATTCAAAAACTTCCTCACAACTCCGCCAGTCTTACAGAGGCCGGATCACAATACCGACCTCCTTCTCTACCTGGCGGTGGCAGAAAACGCCATCAGCGCTGTCATCGTACAAGAACACCAAAAGACACAGACGCCTATCTACTTCATCAGCTGAGCCCTCCAAGACGCGGAAAGAAGATACCAGATGATCGAGAAGCTGGCATTTGCACTGGTCACCGCAGCCCGGCGACTCCGACCCTACTTCCAGAGCCACCAGGTGGTATTCAAAACTGACTACCCCATCAAACAAATTCTACGAAAGCCTGAGCTCGCCGGACGTATGATTGCCTGGTCGATAGAACTGTCCGAGTTCGGCATCCAGTACGAAAACTGTGGACCCCTGAAAGCCCAGTGCTTAGCCGATTTCGTAGCCGAGCTCACGCCAACTACTACTGAGGAATCCCAGACATGGACCCTACATGTTGACGGGTCCTCCAACTCCAAAGGTGGAGGTGCATGCATCATTCTAGAAGGGCCAAACCAAGTCACCCTGGAGCAATCCCTCAAGTTCGGCTTCAAAGTAACCAATAACCAGGCAGAGTACGAGGCGCTCCTTGCCGGTCTGAGGCTAGCCCACGATCTCGGAGCTCGAAGAGTGAACTGCAACAGCGACTCGAAGCTCATGGTAGAACAGCTCAGTGGGACATACCAGACAAAAGACACCCTCCTACAGCGGTACTTCCACATTACATCCCGCCAGATCTCGTCTTTCGACGAATTCTCCATAAAACATGTACCACGAGAGCAAAACGCCAGAGCAGATCTCCTATCAAAACTCGTCAGTACTAAATGGCCAGGTCAACACCGAACCATCATCCAGGAAACCCTGCACTCACCTAGCCTAGACGACAAAATCGTCAACGTCAACGACAAGGAAGAACGGGGATGGATGGCGGACATCTGGAACCACCTGAAAGAGGGGACCCTGCCCAAAGACAAAGACGAAGCACGAAAGGTGAGAATGAGATCAGCCAAATTCATCATCATCGATGATGAATTATTCAAACGTGGGATTTCCACTCCACTGCTCAAATGCCTGACCACATCTCAAGCAACCTATGTCGTCGAGGAAATCCATCAGGGGATATGCGGAATGCACTCCGGAGCGCGCTCAATGGCAGCCAGGGTACTCCGAGCTGGATACTACTGGCCCACTCTGAAGTCAGACTGCCAAAACTACATCCAAAAATGCAAAGAGTGCCAGCATTTTGGCAACACACACCGACAACCCCCTGAAGCCTTTCACCACATGATGTCAGCGTGGCCTTTCTCCCAGTGGGGAATGGACATCCTCGGGCCATTCCCCCCGCGAAGGGTCAGCTAAAATTCCTCCTAGTAGCAATCGACTATTTCACCAAGTGGATTGAGGCGTGCCCACTCGCCAAAATCACCACCAAGAACGTGTGGAAATTCACCTGGAAAAACATAGTCTACAGGTTCGGGATCCCCCACACCATCATTACCGATAATGGACGACAATTCATCGCAGAAGAATTCGAGAACTTCCTCCAAGAACTCGGAATCAAGCATCTCCCAACCTCAGTGGAGCACCCCCAAACCAACGGCCAGGTCGAAGCAGCCAACAAGGTCATCCTCCAAGAGCTTAAAAACGGCTCGGGAACGCAAAAGGGCAGTGGCCCGACATGCTCCCTAGCATCCTCTGGGCATATCACTGCACCCCCCAGTCGACCACGCAAGAAACACCCTACAGGATAACTTACGGAGCCGACGCAATGATCCCAGTTGAAGTCGGAGAAGCGTCCCACCGATGCCAAGTCTTCAATAACGAACAGAATGCCCAAGAGCTGGCAGCCGACCTCGACTTGGTGGACGAACTTAGAGACGAAGCCCAAATCCATGAAGAGGCCTGCAAGCTCCGAGCTTCCCGGCGATATAATTCCCGGGTGAAACCCCGCTCCTTCCGAGCAGGCGACCTGGTATGGCGACTATTAGGAGAAGCACGGAAAGACATGTCAGATGGGAAACTCGCACCTACTTGGGGCGGCCCTTTCCGAGTCACAGAAGACTTGGAAAATGGAGCATATAGATTGGAAGAACTCAGCAAAAAACCCATACCGCGAACTTGGAATGCTACGCATCTCAAGTTCTATTTCAGTTGAACTTTGTACCAATAAGTTGTGCACTCTTTTCCCGCCTCAGTCTTTGGCTGAGAGGGTTTTTAACGAGGCACACATTTTCATCAATAAAATGACTTGTCCCCTTTTATTCACACTCTTACTTTCATCATTTTGTCCACAATTACTAAGAGGTCGAGTACAAACCTCGCCACAATTATTAGAGGTCGAGAACGAACCTTGTCGTGACTATTAGAGGTCGAGAACGAACCTCGCCGTGATTACTAAAGGTCGAGTACGAACCTCGCCACGATTATTAGAGGTCGAGAACGAACCTTTTCGTGACTATTAGAGGTCGAGAACGAACCTCGTCGTGATTATTAGAGGACGAATACGAGCCTCGTCACGATTACTAGAGGTCGAAAATGAACCTCATCATACTTGTACTCAACTAGAGGTCGAAAATGAACCTCATCATACCTATACTCAATTAGAGGTCGAAAACGAACCTCGTTACGTTCATTAGAGGTCGAAAACGAACCTCGTCACGCTTAGTAGAGGTCGAATTCGAACCCCGGCATTGCAAAAGATAAGCTCGAACCCTCGCAACACGCCATTAAACAAAAAGCCGCAGCCGACTTCGAGTCTCGATACAATAAATTCAAAATAAAACCACCTACGCAACAGGCACCGAACGAGCGCCCCAAACCTTGAGAAAAAACCAAAACCAAACACTGGTGCAGAACAAAACTCGTATGCAAAGGTCATGATCCATACATAAACACGGATACAAAAATGTATACACAACAAAACTGTCCTATACAGAGACGTTGTCGCTAGAACTCTCCTCGACATCGTCCTCCCGGACTAACCGCCCGAAGCGAACAACCTTTTCCAGATGCATGCCGGAAAAGTCGCACCCCGGCGCGAGGAGCCTAGCCTGCCGAGCAGCCTTGAGGAAGCCCCTCTTGTGTTCCATTACCACAGAACGTTCAACTTCCTCAAGCCTCCTCTTCAACACCGCATTCTCGGCCTCCAAAGCCGAAAGACTTACCCTCTAGGCAGCCACCTCCTCCTCCTTACAACTGAGGACCACCTCGTCGCGGAGACGCTCCTCGATTACGGACACCAGCTCGCCCTTCAAAAAGGTCACCTCCTCTTCCAAGGAGCGAACCTGGCAAGCGTAACCCTCATTAGTGCCCAAGGGAGCCTCCAGCGATTTCCTGGCCTCGGCGAGATCCCCTCAGACCGCCTGGAGCTCAGCCCCCTGCATCTTCGCCTCAGACACGGTGGCGGCCAAAACCTTGTTCTCCTCCACCAAAGGCTGCACTCGGCCCTTCAGCTTCGCCAGATCTTCCTGCTGCCGCGACCACTTGTGCTTCCAGTAATCCACAATGGTCGTGCCCCTCTGCAGGAAGATCTGAGCGGCATCAAAACTCCCCATAGGCCCGACGGACTCGAACATCGCCTGGTCGGCCGCGCTCAATGACCCCCTCGGAAAAAATTTCTCGGGTGTCAACGAAGCACTCCACAGTGAGTCAATCTCCTCCGACGCGCTCAGATGCTCCAATCGAGTCGGGGCGCCCTCCTGCGCGTAGCGGTACGCAAGATAGGGACGTTTTGGAGGCCCCCTCGCCACCGGTGCAGAGGCTGGGACCTTAGAGCTAGGACCCTCCCCACGAGGACTGGCCGAAGTAGCAACAGAAGCCCCCGGCTCTACCCCAGGGACATCGGCCCCCGCCGCCGTCGACCTCGGAACCTTCAGAACCCCAGGGGCCCTGCCCGCCTGCAAAATAAGTACGGGAAAAGGTCTAAGCCCCGACCAGACAACAAACGACCCAGGGAATAGCAAATCAAGAGATCGCAAACACACGCTGCTTACCTCAACAACACGGGTAATTCGCCCGACGGTCGGAACTTTCGCTCTAGAAGTCGTACTGACCTGGCCAGCAACCCGGGAAGTCGACTCGACGGTAGCCTCCACCTACAATAAACAATCGCAACTCAGGGAACTGAAAGAGAACGTACAAAGAAAGAGAAAGTCATCGACAAGCAATCCCAACCTCTCGTTCAGAAGCCCGGATAGACACCCCGGCAGGATGGACGAAAGGCTCGGCAGCCGACATTGCCCCCTCAGAAATCACCCGAGCTCCCCCCTAAGGCAGGAGACTCCCGGGCAAACCCGCCACCTCAACTCCGGTGGCCCCAGTAACAACCTCCTCCGCCTCGCGAGGAACAGAGGCTCCCCCAACCTCCCTCGGGACCCTCTTCCTTTTCCGATTGACCTTCAGGGGAAAGACCTCTACCTCCCCCTGAGCCTCAGGAGCCTTAAGCTCAACAACATTGTAGCGATGGCACTGGTTCCAGTCACGCCACAAGTCCTTTCCCACAATACCTGAAAGCAAAGGATAAAGCACGTTAGCAAGCATAAAACCCTAACACATAAACAAAGTTACCAAAGACTCACCCTCCAAATCTCTTTCTCTGTGCGTCGAACGCTCGAGCGACAGAATGAGCTTGCAGTCTAGCGGGCGAGGAAATGCCTTCAAAGCATCGACAGCAACCATCTCCGACGGTGTCAGCTGCGAGGGGTCCACCCCATGAAACCCAGACGGGTCACGACACCAGTAGAAGGGAAACCTCGGCAGCCCGCCAAAATAGAACCCCCCATCCTCCAAAGGGTCGACATTGACAAGAGTAACCCGGAAAAACTCTTGCCTATAGTTTTTATACGATTGGGAATAAGAAGTAAATAAACCCCCTTCCTTACCCCCATTCAAAGAAAGCATCCCGTACGGCGGGGCGCCCGCCTTCAATTGGTAGAAAGAGAGGAAAACCCGAAGGGACACCTCCACCCCTAGAATCGTGCATAAAACCTCGAACGCCCTCAAAAAACCCCAACTGTTGGGATGCAACTAACTGGGGGCCGCATTAACGTAGTTCAAAAAGTCGCATTCGAACTACGTCAAAGGAAGGCAGACACCCAAGTCCCTGAAAAAACTCTGATACATATAAAAGGAGGGGGATCCAACGGACCTCTTCATATACACACCTTCACTAGCCGAACAAGGTTCCAATCGGATCATCTGAGAAATAGAGGGGTCACAAATCCTATGCGTCTCCCAGAGCGCATCAACCTACAAACTCGAGTCAAAAACGCTTGCAAACTTGGCCATTTCGCATTTTACCCATTCGTAGCCAGGGACACCCAACTCTAAGTCCCCGGGCGGAGGCACCTCCTTTCCCTCAGCAGCGCCCCTTCCGGTAACCACCGCCTTACCGCGTGCTTTGCCCCTAGCAGGGGCAGCAGAACCAACGCCATGACCACCAGCCATCAAGAAAACTCAAAGAAACACAAGAAAGACAAAGAAAACAGAGATAGGGAGCAGACGAAGACGAAGCGTGCACAAGAAGCTGAAGGACGAAGAAAGAGTAAAGCGAAAACGAGAAGAGGCGCGGGAAAAAGAAAAAACCTCTTCCCAAAGTTCAAAACGGCCAGGCCACGTGTCGACCGAGGGGCACGCCTGATGACACATTAATTGCAACCCATCATTGCATAACCGTCATTTCCCTTAATGCGCCACTTGCACGTTTCCAGGAAATGAACAGTCGCGACACATGGCAGACCCTCAGGTGGCGCACGTGGAAAGCTACTTCCCACTGGCAAGCCCGGTCTCAGCTCCTCGACCTATGATCTTCAGATGTACTAACCGTACTTCGCACCCGGGCTCCGAGCCCGGATTAGCAATACAAAACAACCCCGGGCACGCGCTGCGCGACGTCAGCCCGGTATTTGAGCAAATCATACCTGATTCCGAGGATCTCGTCCCAGACCAGATCCGCCTTTCAATTATATCATATCATATCATGATATATCTTATCTCAAGCCCAAAAGCCCAAGGCAAACCTAGATCACCTCAAGGTACGTGCATTATATATATGAGACTATTACTCATGCAAACCCTAACTTTGGCATCAGAGTCTCTTTTGCAGGTACCTCCCCCATCTTGGAGCACCAATACACCGGGAAAAGGAGACTCACTGATCTTACTGGACGGACCAGCTCTACAGCAGATTTCCGATAAGAACATATATAATTTAGAATTTATGTAATGAATGAAAAATTATCTGAAATTGAAATATAATGATAAATTATGTATCAATTTTTCAAATTTAAATATATTTTAAAAGTATAAATTTAAATAGTATTTTTAATTTATTAATTAATTTAAATACATTTATAGGTATCATCAAATATTGAAGAAAATGACAATAAAATTAAAATATATTAAATATTTTAATTATAAGTATTAATTTATACAATCATGCCACAAAAAAAATAATTGATAGTCTTAATCAAATGTTGTTATAATTGGTAATTAATAATAAATAATTTTAAATTATAATTAATTAAAATTTATTATTATGATTAATTTGAAATTAAGACATAGTAAATAATGAAAAATAATATTTATTTTATTTATTGATAACTTGACATTTTATATTTTATAATTCTTTATTATCACTTTATGTAGTGTCTCATCTAATCTTCCTTAGCATTACACATTTCTTGCTTAAAGAAAAAAGAAGTTTAGAAAAATTTAAAAGAGAAGAAAATGACAATAGATATGTTAGATAAAG